CCAACTATTAATTGGCATTTTTCAAACTTCCTACCTGGTTGGTCCTTACTCCTTGCTTTTCTTTTTTATTACTTTTATGCGTTTTTGCTGTGTAGCGCTATAGCGCCGTTTCAGTGAGCAAAAATGCATATTTTTGAGGGATTATTCGGTGTGTTGGAAGCGAGTGAACTTTGTCGCCTACTTTAAATTCAGCAACCAGGGAAGCTGGGAGACTGAAATTTTGTGATCATATTCCCACTCCATGTATCATCCCCCCGCTTTGAAATCTTCGCTCATACGCGTCTAGATTTCGCGTACGGACCCCCGGAAAAATATACAAATTTCTTTGGCGAGAAGTGATTTCGTGGACCAGAGAAGATAGAAAGCTGAAACTTTACAAGGATATTCTGTGTGCATTTATGAGTTAAAGATTTCAAATTCAGCTGTTGCGCACACTTATACCGCGCGTACGGTTACATCAAAATTTGCAGATGGCACTGCGCTTTAACTTGAAAACTAGTTAAAAAGCAGTAGCTGGAATTTTGTTAAAATATTTGCTGTTCGTATGGAAAATTGTATGCCTAAATTGAGTTTTCACTTGCACTTGCGTTGCGACTTAAGGCACTTCAAAGATGTTTATAGCGAAGTGGCTATTTCGCTTATCAGACAAGCTGCGAAGCTGTAAGTTTGCAAGTTTGTTCTATATTCACGTGTGGTCTCAGATGAGTTTGGAGGTGAAACTGCTTGCGCGCAGGTATGAAAAGTGCCCAATTTTATCGAAGTCAAGAGCAAGTGCATTTTGCGAATTTAATAATCTTCTTCCAACTTCCTTCAAATCTAAACATTTTTTCAACTAACGATACCAGGAGAATGACCAGGCTTCATGCAAAAAACTGGTAGTCATGCATACTAGAAGTTCATGCGGCCCATAGTGCAACACTTTAATCCCAGCCGACGTCCTTTCCCTTTGCTTGCGGGAAGAGGTCAAAACAGAGCCATTGTAAGTCCAAGTGTTGAACTACAGTAAGGATCCAATTATTCTGTTAGTGATCTGCATGCTTAGCGCAAAAACGCATATCGCACTGGCAAACTCATTGCTTTGCAGCCTGGGTTTTAAATTTAATTTCCTTTTGTCCTTCGAAATTACAACCTAATCCTTTATGCACATCTATTCTATTTTATTTTTTTATTTTATCAATACTAAAATCGTTGTGCTGATGAGGCCCAGCTGTGATACTAAATGGCATTTTTATGACTTGATGAGCCGAAACATTTTTTTTAACATGATTTTATATTTTTGTGCATATGTCTTACTTTTCTTGCATGATTTCATGACGATT